TTTTGAATTACATTTCACCCTGTTGTGAAATCACGGACCTCTTTTCAAAAAAGTGTATAAAGTTAGCCTTTTATCCAAATGAGCTAAAACTTTCAAAATACGTTCTTTACAAAGCCTGCTGTAAGCTGGTTACAATAGCAAAGCGCTTCTTTAAAGTCTGTCACTCTGATTTTTCAAACGTTTGCGTTCTTGCCTAATAGTTGGTCAAGTGGACAGATAATGCCAGGATATATTTTTCAACTGCCGCAGTATAAGGCATTCACGTTTAAAGATTTTTCTTTCTTTGAATTATTTAATAAATCACCTAAAAAAGAATCTAGGACATGCAAGATGTGTTCCTTGACATTTGTGATTTTTTTTGGGGATTTTATTGCAAACTATGGATTTTTTTATGATTTTTTTTGTTTTGAGTAGGGTGTAATACCGCTAACCGTGGGTTTTGGCAGTGCTGTTTCTCCATCTTTTGAATATATACTTTTGACCCACCAACTGAGATTGCTACAGCAAATATCTGACAGATGAGATTCATCCCCAGATATTATCTTTTATCCCTAGTTTAACCCTTCCTGACCAAAGCTGTGGTTGTCTCCGGCTGGTCCAGAAGTGAAGCGTGGCGCTTTTTCCGCTGGCTGGGAAGGAGCAAGGGGGCAGCGGTCACTCACCTCCCGCGGTCGCGATAGGCCGAGCGGAGAAAGAGGAGGATGAAGAGGAGCAGCACAGGGTGATGAAGAGGATGAGGGGAAGCAGCAGCAGGCATAGGCTGAAGAGCAGGAGAATAGGCTGGGAAGGAGCGTGGAGCCGGCGGTCGCTTGGTTCCCGCGGTCGCAACATACCAGGCGGTGCGAGCTGCGAGGGCCGTCAATACCGCTCGCGGTTTTAATTTTGTTTAATTTTGATGATTACAAATGACAACAAATGAAAATCTCAAATTCATCATATCAGAAAATTAGAATATTGTGAAAAGGTTCAAAATTGATGGCCCCTGGTGCCACACTCTAATCAGCTAATTAACTCAAACCACCTGCAAAAGCCTTTAAATGGTCTTTCAGTCTAGTTCTATAGGCTACACAATCATGGGGAAAACTGCTGACTTGACAGTTGTCCAAAAGACGACCATCGACACCTTGCACAAGGAGGGCAAGACACAAAAGGTCATCGCTAAAGAGGCTGGCTGTTCACAGAGCTCAGTGTCCAAGCACATTAATAGAGAGGCGAAGGGAAGGAAAAGATGTGGTCGAAAAAAGTGTACAAGCAAGAGAGATAACCGCACCCTGGAGAGGATTGTGAAACAAAACCCATTCAAAAATGTGGGGGAGATTCACAAAGAGTGGACTGCAGCTGGAGTGAGTGCTTCAAGAACCACCACACACAGACGTATGAAAGACATGGGTTTCTGCTGTCGCATTCCTTGTGTCAAGCCACTCTTGAACCACAGACAGCGTCAGAAGCGTCTTGCCTGGGCTAAAGAGAAACAGGACTGGACTGCTGGTGAGTGGTCCAAAGTCATGTTCTCTGATGAAAGTAAATTTTGCATTTCCTTTGGAAATCAAGGTCCCAGAGTCTGGAGGAAAAGAAGAGAGGCACTTCATCCACGTTGCTTGAAGTCCAGTGTAAAGTTTCCACAGTCAGTGATGGTTTGGGGTGCCATGTCATCTGCTGGTGTTGGTCCATTGTGTTTTCTGAGGTCCAGGGTCAACGCAGCCACATACCAGGAAGTTTTAGAGCACTTCATGCTTCCTGCAGCTGACCAACTTTTTGGAGATGCAGATTTCATTTTCCAACAGGACTTGGCACCTGCACACAGTGCCAAAGCTACCAGTACCTGGTTGAAGGACCATGGTATCCCTGTTCTTAATTGGCCAGCAAACTCTCCTGACCTTAACCCCATAGAAAATCTATGGGGTATTGTGAAGAAGAAGATGCAATACACCAGACCCAACAATTCAGAAGAGCTAAAAGCCACTATTAGAGCAACCTGGGCTATCATAACACCTGAGCAGTGCCACAGACTGATCGACTCCATGCCACGCCGCATTGCTGCAGTAATACAGGCCAAAGGAGGCCCAACTAAATACTGAGTGCTGTACATGCTCATACTTTTCATGTTCATACTTTTCAGTTGGCCAACATTTCTATAAATCCTTTGTTTTTATTGGTCTTCAGTAATATTCTAATTTTCTGATATGATGAATTTGAGATTTTCATTTGTTGTCATTTGTAATCATCAAAATTAAACAAAATAAACATCTGAAATATATGAGTTTGTATGTAATGTATGAATATAATATACAAGTTTCACTTTTTAAATGGAATTACTGAAATCAATCTACTTTTTCATGATATTCTAATTTTATGACCAGCACCTGTATTATAATCCTTTGTTCGTCCTGTAAGCTTTTCAGTTTATTTATTTACCTCTGGCCTTACTAGTCCGATGTACTTGTGCTGTTTCGGCATAGCAAATTTCCCCACTGTGGGAAACATAAGCATATCTTATTTTATAACTCATCTAATCTAATGGGCTCTGTTATTAAGGTGCTTTATATAGTGTTTTGAATAGATGTGTAAAACACTCAACCTTTCATCTACTTTGCAGGTCAACCCGCATATGAGATGATGGAGACTGACCCAGACTGGGCTCCATCCCTGCATCTGGGCCACACTGACATCAGACCAACAGACACAGACCGCTCTTTAAGACGTGGTTATCAGGAACAGCTGAAAAAGAATGCCCTGCAAGCAACTGAAACGGGGCTCCATCAGGCTGATGAAATCCTTCAGCGACAGGATGAAGTTACACATGAGGCGACAGAGAACCCTAACCAGCAACAGACTGACACGCAGAAGGCTGCTGAAAACGTTGGCCGGCCAAACACCAAGGATGACACAGAAGGTGGTCGTCAGGAAGGACAGACAGAATGTAACCTGTGTGTGCTCAGGTGTGCAGAGATGAACCGTCTTTTGGAAGAAAACAGAGAGCTGCGGCGTGAACTTGATGAGCTGCAGATCTCTGATTGCTTCTTTGGAGACAGTAATGAAAAAGTCAAGTACTATACGGGTCTACCAAACTTGGCAACCTTTATGGCTTTGTTTAATTTTCTGCTGCCTCTCATGTCTGCTCAAAATAAAATTCTCAGTCCATTTCAAATGCTTCTGTTAACCTTCATGCGTCTGAGATTGGATCTGCCCTCAAAACACCTTGCTTATCTCTTCCGTGTTTCACCAAAGACAGTGTACAGAACATTCAATGAAATGCTGTCATTTTTATATGCAAATCTAAAGCGTGCAATTGTGTGGCCAGATAGAGACACTTGCACAAAATTATGCCTCATCAGTTTTTGGATGCCTTTGGACATAGAGTCACAGTGATTATTGACTGTTTTGAAATTTTCACAGAGAAACCAGCTAATAAATGAATGCCAGATCAAGTACTGTTTCAACTTTCTTCTTCTTTTTTATTCTTCTTTTCACACAAATAGAATTTTGCTTTTTTTAAAGTTACTTTTGAAAAATAACAGCAAAACAAATATAAGTTTCACCATCACTTCAAATATTAACAATGTTTCTGAGGTTGTAAAAATGTGTGTACAATAAAGAGTGGATTTGAAATTTGAAACAAGTGTTGTTATTATCTTTTCAATCAAGCAGAGAATTTATGAAAATGCAATACAAAATCTCAAATACATAAATAATGCAGAACAGTGCAAAGCTTCAAATGTTTTACTTTTTCTTCCTCCCTCGTATATAGCAGATTGCTCTTTAGATTAAATTAGAAGATTTTCATTTTCCCAGGACTTGTTTTCACTGTGGTCTGTGGTCTTCTGTAGAGATATTACCTAACAGGTGATATCTGTGAAGAAGACTGCAGATCCCAGTGAAAACAGGCCTGGATAAAGTGAACAGCAAATACAGTGTGCAACTTATCAATGTGCAAAAATTATGACAAGTTTTTTCGTTCAGTCTGATGAGCAGCACAAACTGCTCTAATAACTGCAGCTATCTGTGCAACTGCCCACAACATCTGCCTTGTCACTGTAATAATAATATATAATATCGTTCCCTAGCAGCTTTAGAAAGTTTGTCTGGGTAGGGTATCCGTTCAGTTTTCTTGTTCTTTTCCATTTAACTGATAATCCTCACTGCTGGCAGCGCTCTCCTCTTGTTTTCTGCTGTTTTGTTTTTCTTCCGCTCACCACAAAAATGGCGCTAGGGGGCGTGTCAGTCACGTGTCTGACAAAGACCGATAACTTCACACCCAGGAGCTACTGGTTCACACAGATTTGAGCCATTTAATAACAAAATTGCATGTGGAATTTAACAAACTTAGTTTGTTCTTTTGTCGTAATATGATCAGTTAGATCAAAGTAAGATTGTGTTGGACATTTCTTAAACCCATGACCTAAAAAGTTACTCTTAAACTTCACCAGCAGTGAAAACCCTGAAACAATCTTCTTCATATTTTCCAGATTTCCCACATCTTATCAGAAATAGCCATGTTAGGTCAGGGATTGAACATCTGTGCTCTGTTTTATGTCTGACCTAAGGCGTCCTCGCTACAGTAAACCCAGAGCCTCTGTGTGTGTTAGACCTATCTTAATGAGGAAGGTCTACATTTTTACTGTTCACTCTTCAGTCATTTCCTCAGTCTGTCAGTAGCTTTAATGCTTTCTCTAAGGTCATAAAGTAAATATGCTCTTTTAGTTGCTTATGTAAACTTTACTCTCTGTCATAACATGTTTGTCCAGCACAACATCTCTAAGTTGTTCAATTGGCTTTGCCAAATGAAAGCTGTCAATCAGTTTTCCTTTTAATGCATTAATATCAATGAGACTTCAACTCTAAAGGTCATTACCAGTTTCATGTGGTGCTCTGACTAAATAAAGAGGTGCTAAGGTTTGTGATGGCACCAGAAATGATCTTCTCTTGTGATTTGACAGCAGAAAATAATTGTGTTATCACGCTTTTTTAAAAGTTCCCCATTGCTTTGCTTGTGTTTTTAGGCTCTGCAGAAGTTAGCAAGTCAGTACCTTAAGAGAGACTGGCCTGGAATCAGCCCCGATGACCAGAGAACGGATTATAGGTTGGTTTGGATATATTTTGTTATTCACCAGAAGAAGAAAGGGAATCTACATAACAAAGTCAGAGTCTTTACCGTATGCAGAGTGGACCTGAACAAAGGCAGACATGCAGTTACAGTGTTACTTTCTCATCAGTCTGGATCCATGTTATGTTGAAATGAGTCATTGAGTTACTCTTAGATTATACAGAATTGTAAATGTTATCGAAAATAGAGTCAATTTAACTCAGAGGAAGATGCTTCGAATTTTAAATGCATGAAAAACTAAACGTGTATTTGCAGTCTGAAAGTGAGACTTAAGCTGCTTATTCATCTCCTCTTTTTAGCAGGAATCCAAACCTGTTAGATTAAAGCTGGTCATTACTAAATCCTTCTGCCATTATAGCAGAAGCACCCCAATAAAAAAAAAAAAAAAAAAAAAAAAAACGGCTTTGTCTTCAAGTTTTGTCTGATTTATATAGAATACATTTTTGTAGCTACACTTTTCCAGCCAGTTTGATACTCAGTGTTCAAACGGTGCCAGATCAAACCTTCATCCTGTGAAGTGTCTTCTGTTCTTTGTCTCTCCAACCAGAAACGTGTACGCTGTGTGGAGGGCCTACTTAGAGGGAACGGTTCAGGTGAGCCAGTCGAGGCTCAACGTTTGTGACAACTACAAGAGTCAGATATCAGAACCGGCCAAAACCGTTAGACTCTACAAGGACCAGCAGCTCAAGAAGGTGAGTTCAGCTGTAGAAATGTGAGTAGATCCGAGTTTAAACATGTGGCTTAAGATCTTCTTTTGGCAACTCATAGGTTTCCTCACTTACTCTTCACAGACCATTGATCAGCTGAGTGGCATTCAAGCAGAACTGCAGGAGTCGGTGAAAGATTTGGCGAAAGCCAAGAAAAAATACTACGACTGCGAGCAGGTTGCCCACGCAGTACGAGAGAAGGCCGACATAGAGGCCAGGTAATTTTGCCAGGCGCTGCGTCTATCAGGAGGCATTATGCAAGGCAAAATAAGAATGATGCACATATCTTTTTTGCTGCCTGAGCTTAGCAGGATTCCTCACTACAAAGCCCACCGAGTAGACGAGCATCTGCTCTAAGAATCCAATATCCGAGGCTTTGCAGTTTCACAATTAGTTCCAGATTTGAACTGAGTGCTGATGAGTGTTGTTTTTCTGCCAGCCCTAGGTAGCAGTAGCTATGGTGACATATTCGCTTTACTGAGTAGCAACCTGTTCTTTATCATTCTGGAGAATGTGAAAGCTGCTGTGCCTTATATGGGGATGCAAAATGAACCATGTCTTTAAAGTCCAAATAATAGTAGGAATTTAGAGTTTCACAATCTAGGTGCAAAGTTAAGAACAGTTTGGTGTAAAATGGAGACCTGACGTAGATTATAAAAGTAGAAACACATGCTTCAAGACTGAAATGCTTACTCAGTGATTTATCACCACTAATATACATCATAAGGACAGTTTCAGGCAGAAATGGGTTGTTATCGGGCAGTAGACTATTTGGATATGACTGAGTGAAATATACTGATTAAACTGGAGAAAGCTTAAAACGTAAAGCAGCAGGATGAGTTCACTCTAACTTTCATATGTCATATGTCCGTTATTAATGGACAGATTACTGCACTGACTTTCTTAAGATAATCCTAGACAGTTTAATAAATAATGGTTGAAATTGGAATCAGATTTTTTGTATATTTGAATAAAATCGACTCTATTTCCTGTTTTTTTGTTTTGTTTTTTTCAGATCCAAACTTGGTCTTTTTCAATCAAGAATTAGTTTACAGAAGGCAAGCGTGAAGGTAAGAGGGCCTTACAATCAATGTTACCCCCCCTCTGATACAGAGGCGCTATGATTTCACATCTGAAAATCCTCTTAATCGGACTAGGGTTCTCTGTGCCCCCTCACATCAGGAGGATTTTTGTGAACCCTGGGGTCTATAGAGGGCTAAAACAGACACATTTAAAAAAAATGATGAAAGGAATAAATGTGAATGTGCCATGTAAAAAGAAATGCATAGAGAAAAGGGAAATTATAGGTACAATTTATTCATTGAATACATTGTTAAATAGTTTATTCTATGAGTTATAAAATAAAAAAAATACAATAACAAAATGTTGTCAATCAAAAACACACACAAAAAAATAAATTGTGTCATTAAAAAAAATACTTTTGAAAAATTTATATAATTAATTTCACTCTATATTATACAGTAAAATAATGATCTAAATGGTGTTTTTAGGGGTCACTGTGTTGCCAACAGGGCTAACCAGTCTGTAATTTTGAGGGTCAAAGATGAAATGTTTGGTAACCTCTCATCTTTAATATGGTGGTGGACAATAATTTACTATGATTATATATCACAATAAAATTGTATTCAGTAATGATGATATGACTTAAAACATATTTCCATAATTGTATTATCAATTAATCTATGATTACAGCATTTTTCACTGACTGATGTTCTGTTTTTGTGTTGCTTTTTTTGTGGAGGAGTTTTATTAACCTTTATATAGATAGTTTTGTAAAGGATTCTGGGAACTCTTGTCAGAATTTCTGAAGGTTTTATTTATTTTTTTATTGACTCTGTAATTATTTTGACCAAAATTAAGAAATATACCTTGATAAATATTTTTACTGGAGCGCTGAAGTGTACAGAAATGAAAGTGAAGCTCTGTAGAATGAATGATTTTCCTGGTTTTATTTCAGTTGAAAGCTAAGCGAAGTGACTGTAACTCCAAGGCGACGCAGGCTAGGAACGACTACCTGCTAACGCTAGCTGCTGCAAACGCCCATCATGACCGCTACTACCACACAGACTTACTGCACTGCATACAGGTAATTAATGAAACACCAATCACTGACTGGCAGATAAAACTCCATTAGATCATTTGTCTAAGTCTTTAGGTCCTTTTAGAAATCATAACAGGTTTGATACACTTACATAGTCTCGTCAGTTTATTTTCCTTTTCTGTAGCTCCTAAAGCTAAGTTGTACGTAGCTGGAGTTCACAGCTGTTGGTTATTGTTTGAATTAAAATGTCTTTTTCAGAAATTTGATCAAACACTTTGAGACTGAGAGTTAAAACTTTATTTTACAAGATGGAGCTTAACAAAAGTGAACAAAAAGTTGAACACTTTGTTTAGCAAAGTATTCTGTCTTAAATACTTGGTCATCTCTGACAATGTTTTTTTTTAATGTTTAAATGGTAATATAATTAACATATCAGGGTCAATGTCATGAGTTGTGGGAGAAGACAAAACAGTCAAATTAGTTTTTCCTACATTCACGTTTCTGTATTGGAAAAAAAAAACAACCCAAAGGGAGTTTTTTTTTTATTTAGGTTCAGGGGCAACATTTCCAGGTTCCAAACTAAGATTGGACGTTTCTATTTGTCAGGAAAGCATCTTAATTGTAAATGTTTCAACTGTCAGACAGCCGTTAAATATGAACCAAATAGTCTGAAGGAAAGACAATGTCAGTGTGTCTGAAAAAGTGATGATTTAACAATTTTTGGCTCTCCAAAGGGAGCTTTGCATTGAGTCTCCTAGGCTGTTCGGATTTGTAATTCATATGTAGGGAAATATTCTGCAAAATAAGGATTTTTGAGGACCACTCTTGTCAGATCACTGGTTGATGGTGAAGTTAAGATTTTCTACAGGTGTAAAAAAAATAAAAAGCAAAAATGGAGACCAGCCAATGGTGACAGTTAGTTTTTAGCGGTATGTTAACAAGTAACTCCCTCTGAGTTATGATAATGATTCAACACTTTTCAATCAGGTAGGCTGGTTGAGTCTCCTACATTTTATTCTATTGATGCTTCAGGGGATTTTTTTTTGCATCACATTTGTTGCAAAAGAAAGCTTATTTTAAGTAAATGTCCTCCTTACATGATATGACTCAAGAAATGACTTCTGCTTCCCTCACCCAAACATCTCAGAGGACTTAGTTCTAGTTTTCAATGAATCTTTCGGCCTTGTTGCAGTTTCCCTCGGACATCCTGGCCCCATCCTGGCACAGACAGTGTGCGCATCTATACTGTGAGGCCTTCCTGAATAATAGATCCTCAGTTCCTTGTGACAGAAGGATGGAACTGCAGGGAAATATGCATGCACACAAATGTGTGCAAGTAAACACATGAGGAGAATAGGGGGACACTGCTTGGAGGAAGCAAGCTGTTCCTGCTTTGTTTCTCCTTTTTCTTTTATGTGTGATCTTTACACAACTTTACAAAAAAAAACTGTAATTAATCCCTTTCAGAAAAAAATGCCAACGAACTTAAACTGCCTATAAAAAAAATCAATAAAACATATTGGAGTTAGTGGCTGTAAAAAACAGCAAAAACTAGATTTTATGGCTCTGTACTTAAAGGAATAGTACACCCAAAACATGATTAGCCTTCATTTTCTACTCACCCCCATGCTGAACAAAACTCTGGAGTACTTTTTTGATATCTCAAATGCATCTGGAGATCTGGGAGGCTTCTTGCTGTCTGCTGACATTCAAATAATGGAGGTCTATGGTGACCGAGACAGAAAGGTCCATAAAAGTCCACAAAAACGTGTCAATATTCCTCCATACTGCTCGTCCAATGTAATCCAAGTGTCCTGAGTGGGTAGCATCCAGAATTTACTCGAAACGAAGTCATTTAGAATGTTTTTAGAGCATAAACAGTAGTGTATAGGATTTCCTAATAGCGCCCCCATGCGCGCTCACGATTCTACGGAAGCCGGCAGACCAAACCGGAAGAAAGTGCGCATTCAGCGTCTGCTCTGCCGATAATGCAAGCGTAGAAGAAGAAATGTGCTGTTTACCTGTGCAAAGAAAGAAACAACGAAAGAAAAATGTCTGAGGACTTCAGTGTTGAGGAAGAGCATGAGTTCTTTGCCGAGCTGAATGCGCTGGTTTGGTCTGCCGGCTTCCGTAGAATCGTGAGCGCGCATGGGGGCGCTATTAGGAAATCCTATACACTACTGTGTAGGCTCTAAAACGTTCTAAATGACTTTGTTTCGAGTAAATTCTGGATGCTACCCACTTAGGACACTTGGAATTCATTGGACGAGCAGTATGGAGGAATATTGACACGTTTTTGTGGACTTTTATGGACCTTTCTGTCTCGGGCGCCATAGACCTCCATTATTTGAATGTCAGCAGACAGCAAGAAGCCTCCCAGATCTCCAGATGCATTTGAGATATCAAAAAAGTACTCCAGAGTTTTGTTCAGCATGGGGGTGAGTAGAAAGTGAAGGCTAATCATGTTTTGGGTGTACTATTCCTTTAAGTTTAATTTGTTCTAATTTATTTGATCTATGTTTTAAATTTTGTTTTATCACTTTTGGGAGACAGTGTGTCTAGATATGTGGAAAATGTAGATTATTTTAGTTTGAACAGTGCTGAAATATTTTTTTGCAGCTAACTTAAAAGCAGTAGAAATAGATCTGCTCTCTTTCACTATTTTCACAATGAGTGAAATTTTAGGTACCTATATTGCATTGTTTTTATTTTTTTATTTTTAATTAAATAATTGAATCAAATATCCAGTTGATGAACAGGAAACTGTTCTGGAATCTGGCTGCAGCAAAAACACATGAAAGCTGTTGTCCTTGTCAATGCGACAGCTGGACTAGGAGGTCAGGAGCTGCTCCACATCTCCCTCTGCTGGTAGAACCTGGTGGTGAGGGTTCTATTTTACACCTCTGCTCTCCTGTGCTTTGTTTTGGTCAGAGCGATGGAGTCATTCGCCTAAAAACACACGTACAGTCCAACTATCTACGGTACAGGGCTTGGGCTTTTTCTGGAAGCTGACTCACTTAGTTTCAAAGCTACCGTAAATGGAAAAAAAGAGGAGGGGAGGATGGGATGAAAGAGGAGGAGGGAAATTACCAGACTGATGAGGGAACAAGCAGAATGCCCAACCTTAATGACATAATTTCCTTGTCAAGATGCTATTGTTTTATGAAGCGGTGGTATGTATGTGTGGCAAATAACCAAACATCTTCCTGTCTGGTAGGAGGAAATTTTGTGCAAATTGAAATTTGTGTTTCAGGCAGATCGCATAAATGAATATATATGTGTTTTTCTTGGAAGAGAGAAGGGGACTTATGTTTGTTGAGAGAAACTTTTGAGTTTATGTGTGCCTGAATAGTTGAAAGCTGAAGCATGTGAGTTAAAAATCTGCTGTTGAACTCTTTCACCTTCTTCAGCAGTTGTTTGAACTCGATCTCAAAAAGGCATCTCGAAACAAAACTGTTTCACTCGATTTGTTTTTCTCACAGAATAATACTGCTAATGCCTCTTCTTCTCCTTAAGCTTTTCTCTTTCCTTTCCCTTTTGTCCGATGTGTGTGTTTTGCACTGCAGCCTTCTCCTTTTCAGACCTCATTAAAATGTCCTTCTCTCTTTTTGCTTGCCGTCGAGTGTAAACATCTGCTTGGCTCCAGTCTTTTCCCTCTGCCTCAAGCTTTCTCCTCTTTGTTGGTCTCGTCCATTTTGCTGCTCAAATCTCAAATGCATTTTGTTTACAGACAGCATACAAAACATGGACGTAGACGTACACATGCCTCTGCATCAACAATGAATGTTCCATATACATGAGACATTTTAAAGAGTGATGAGCTTCCTGCAGGGATAAACGATTAAATGCAGAGATGCAAATAAATAATTAACTAAACCCTAATGTTTTTTAGCCCCTCATATAAGATATTGTTAAATTATATTAATTATACCCTGTTGTCCTTGCCTTTGTCTGTTATCCAGGCTTTAGATGGGAGAATCTACGAACATGTGAAAGACTACCTGCTGGCTCTGTGTCGCACTGAGCTGGAGGCCTCACAGGCTACCCACAGCACCTTCCAGTTCCTTTTAGAAAAATCCTCCAGGGTGAGTCAGATTACTTTGAAAGTTAACTTGAAGAAAAGAAGATATGAGCATGTAACTGCTTCATGAAAGCTTCTTATCTCTATAATATATTTACCTGCGGAATTAATGATATTGAGTTTTTATTTGGACTAACATGAGTGGATTTTTATAGTCGTATTTAAATCCAAACTCTGTAAAAGTCAGATGTTCAGCATGGGCGGCTGGGTTTAAATGTTGTTTTCACATAGAAATATAGACCTCCTGTCTATAGCAAATATCAACCGCAGAGGAGAATAAACTGGAAGATGCCTGCAATAAAGTGCTTTAGATACCCAAAAAATTACATATTTTTTGTTTTGTGTCCTGTTTTGCCAATATAGATCTGGGAATAGATGTCCCAGGGCTAGATGATGGCCCAAAAGCTTTGCTTTCACGTACATTATGACTGCTAAATAAAACAAAACAACAAAAATAGACAATACAGAAGATACAGTAATAACTAGAGTTCTGCTTCCACTGTAGCTGCAGCTTAGTTTTTAGTATTAGTGTGTATCTGTGAACACCTGAACCAAACCCCCAATAAATTTTTTTATCATCCTCAACAACTTCTCATATTTAAGAAAACTTTATCAAGCCCAAAGATGAAAAAAAAAAGTCCTACACTATATTGCCAAAAGTATTTGCTCACCCATCCAAATTATTGGAATCAGGTGTTCCAATCACTTCCATGGCCACAGGTGTATAAATTCAAGCACCTAGGCATGCAGACTGTTTTTACAAACATTTGTGAAAGAATGGGTCGCTCTCAGGAGCTCAGTGAATTCCAGCGTGGAACTGTGATAGGATGCCACCTGTGCAACAAATCCAGTCGTGAAATTTCCTCGCTCCTAAATATTCCACAGTCAACTGTCAGCTGTATTATAAGAAAATGGAAGTGTTTGGGAACGACAGCAACTCAGCCACGAAGTGGTAGGCCACGTAAACTGACGGAGCGGGGTCAGCGGATGCTGACGCGCATAGTGCGAAGAGGTCGCCAACTTTCTGCAGAGTCAATCACTACAGACCTCCAAACTTCATGTGGCCTTCAGATTAGCTCAAGAACAGTGCGCAGAGAGCTTCATGGAATGGGTTTCCATGGTCGAGCAGCTGCATCCAAGCCATACATCACCAAGTGCAATGCAAAGCGTCGGACGCGGTGGTGTAAAGCACGCCGCCACTGGACTCTAGAGCAGTGGAGACGCGTTCTCTGGAGTGACGAATCGCGCTTCTCCATCTGGCAATCTGATGGACGGGTCTGGGTTTGGCGGTTGCCAGGAGAACGGTACTTGTCTGACTGCATTGTGCCAAGTGTAAAGTTTGTTGGAGGGGGGATTATGGTGTGGGGTTGTTTTTCAGGAGCTGGGCTTGGCCCCTTAGTTCCAGTGAAAGGAACTCTGAATGCTTCAGCATCCCAAGACATTTTGGACAATTCCATGCTCCCAACTTTGTGGGAACAGTTTGGAGCTGGCCCCTTCCTCTTCCAACATGACTGTGCACCAGTGCACAAAGCAAGGTCCATAAAGACATGGATGACAGAGTCTGGTGTGGATGAACTTGACTGGCCTGCACAGAGTCCTGACCTCAACCCGATAGAACACCTTTGGGATGAATTAGAGCGGAGACTGAGAGCCAGGCCTTCTCGTCCAACATCAGTGTGCAACCTCACAAATGCGCTTCTGGAAGAATGGTCAAAAATTCCCATAAACACACTCCTAAACCTTGTGGACAGCCTTCCCAGAAGAGTTGAAGCTGTTCTAGCTGCAAAGGGTGGACCGACGTCATATTGAACCCTATGGATTAGGAACGGGATGTCACTTAAGCTCATATGTGAGTCAAGGCAGGTGAGCAAATACTTTTGGCAATATAGTGTACCTCCCTTTCTGCTCTGTTTTCCTGGTAGATTTATACCTATTTTTTGTCTGATTTGTCAGATTTTCAGCAGAGTAAATGCATGGGGGATAAAAGCTATCCCGGTTCCTGAAAAACGTTTCCGCAGAGCTTAAATTTATTTTCGTTGTGCAAAAAATGCAAAATAAGGATGCATTAATTTACCGTTTAAATGTTAGCTTACGGATGCGTTGGCATCGACTTAGTTCCTAGATTTTATTAGGACAACCTTTCTAACCTACAGAGCCAAAACGCATTCTTAGTACTCCAAGTAGAAATTTGACTTGTTTACAATAGTTTGTGAAGGACTGTGAAGGACTGACTTAGACTTAGACTGAACTTTATTTATCCCTTGGGATTACTCCTTCAGGGAAATTCTGATTCCAGTAGCTTATATAGAGTACAAAGAGTTAAAGCAATATGCCATTAAAGATAAAAAAAAATATGACAGACAATATAAAAAGAGTGTATATAGTACCAAAAAAGAAGAAAAAAAGAAAAGAGTTGTAACGTCCTGGAATATGTTTCCCTTATATATAAAAATATCTGCACACTAGAGAGCTAAGGAAAGACTACATAGTAGTTGACTTGGGTTATTGCACTTGCACTGCAGAGACGTACTGACCAAATAAATAAACAGACTACACAGTAGTAAACAACAAAAAACTAAATTTCAAGTATATCTCGTGAATCATAATCTTTACAATTACATAAAGTAAAAACACACAAAAAAACAACACAAGTGTAAATAAATCTATAAGTATACATGTCTGATATTTATTTTTTTAGACGTATACCGTATTTTCACGACCATAAGGCGCACCGTACTAAAAGGCGCAGTCTCAGTTATGTGTCCCATTTCTGTATTTAACACACACATAAGGAGCACCGGACTATAGGGCGCGTTTTTTATATACAGGTACATGTCCTCTACTACCTTTAAATACCTCTACTGCGTATTTAAAAATACAGCGGGGGCAAAACTGAGTATGACTGTGCTTTATTCATGTATTTATTACAAAGCGCTGTGATCACTCCTAAATTAACTTAAAATCCTGAAACCTGCCGACGGAATTTGTTGGCTTTTATTACCGGTATCCTGGTGCCTGCAGTTTAAATTATTTAGATGAAAAACACCTGCCAGCCACCGCGGTGAACCCGGAGGCTGCCCAGCCTAGAGGCTGCTGATGAAGGGATTTCTACTGTCGGTGCACCGCTGGTATGTGGGGGTCTGAGCGCCTCCGACAGAAATAGATAATCTGGATGAACTGACTGCAATTATAAAGTTTTCAGGTGGACTTTCTCACTTAAAAACATATTAAAACTACTTTATTCCCACTGATCACAGCAAATATAGCTGCAAGATTTAGATTATTTAGATGAAAAAACACCTGCCAGCCACCGCGCTGAAGAGGAGGAGACCCGCCCAGAGGCTGCTGTTGAATTAAGTTTTCAGGTAGAAAAATAGAGCGGGAGCAAAACTGAGTATGATTGTGCTTTATTCATGTATTTATTACAAAGTATTAATCAAACCCATCAAAGTCATCATCCTCTGTTTCTGAATTAAACAGGTGCGCTAAATCAGACATGCCCATTTCCCCTTCTGCGCTGTCAGAGTCACTTTCCGTGCAGCGCAGCTCCTCAGAAATAATGCCTGCTTTTGCAAAAGCTTGAACAACAGAGCCAGCAGACACGTTAGTCCAAGCATCTGCAATCCATCCGCAAACTGTGGCGTAACTTGCCCGGCGCTGCCTTCCACTTATCCTAAAACTGTGGTCTCCGTCTGTCATCCATCACTCCCACGCCGCTCGCAGCCTTACTTTGAACGGCCGCTTCACACCGATGTCGAGCGGTTGAAGTTCCTTTGTCAGACCCCCCGGGATAACGGCGAGCACAGCGTTCATTTGATTCACCATGTTTTTCTCATCAGCTGTGAGATGGGCACGCATGGAGTCACAGATTAACAGCGATGGTGATGCGTGGAAAACACCATCTGTTCTCCTCACATACACCTCCCCCAGCCACGCTTTCATCATCTCCTCATCCATCCAGCCCTTTTCATTTGCGTTAATAACATGTCATCAGAGCGCTGTGTCTGTCTCGCTGTCAGCTCCCAGATCAGCTTCTCTGATTGGTTGATGCGGCGCGTCCAGCAGCAAAACTTCAATTTTTCCATCTCGAGCAGCAGCAGCGCGTTGGCAGATGCTTAAACGCTCCTGCTGCTCAAAACGCGCTGCGGGACCTTTTGCTGCGCCTATACGCGCGTCAACCATTGACTTTGCATGTAAACTCGCTGCTTCTGCTGCACCTGCTGGGTCCTGTTCACACCGATGTCGAGCGGTTGAACAGCGAGCACAGCGTTAATTTGTTTCCCCATGTTTTTCACATCAGCTGTGAGATGGGCACGCATGGAGTTACATATTAACAGCAATGGTGATGAGTGGAAAAAAAACACCTGGTCTCCTTACATTCAGCCACTCTTTCATCATCTCCTCAATGAGGTGGTCTCAAAAGTCGCAGTTACAACACACATAGGGCGCACCGCACCAAAGGGCGCACCGCACATTTTGAGGGAAAAAAAAGACGTTTAAGTGCGCCTTATAGTCGTGAAAATACGGTAATCCTTTTGTCCTGAACAAGCATCAAATAAATTGAACAGACATGTATTCCACTGATAGGGATGGTCAGAAATGTCCACCTTAGACCGGACGTATTAGTTGTAAAACACTCACCCTGCGTAATGTTGAATGGCTGATCTGCCATAAGGTTTTGCCGTTTCTTCCCTTTCCGTCCTCAGCCTCAGTCGGTCCAGATTACAGCGTAGTTTCTCTTGAACTCACCTGCTAAATGAAAGGATTAATAATATGCTCGGGTTTCCTCCTCAGATAATCCAGGAGTTCAACCAGCAGTTGTTCATGCAGGAGAACCCCGTGTTTCACAAGGCGCACGACTTCCAGTTTCAGGCCAGCGAATACGACGCGGTGAGAGTCCCTAACCTGCTTTGAAGATGTTTTAATGTCAGCACACAGACGGTTCTTCCTGTTTGTATAGAAACCAGTTTTCAGGAGGACTGTAACTCTGTATTGTGTTAAGCATATGAATTCCTACTTAGAGTCTGACATGAATCAGCCTCTTCTTTTACCAAACACAGCATGTCTCATATTCTTTTCATTTTTGTCTCTACTCTGATGATTATGTAGAGCTGCATTAATACCAAAGCGGCCGAGCAGCAGCTCCAATCAGTCCCACTTGGGTTTTCTTTGTACAGTGAATTTAAGATGGGAGCTCTCCAGTTAACTGGTGACAGCAGGACAGAAACACGAACCATCTCTCTGTTCTCAGCTTAATATTAAATGATATCATCTACTGGGAGCCGAACTTTTTACTTCTTTCATCTTTTCCATCATTGGAAGCTAAAGATCTTTTAAACTCAACTGGTTGTTAAGATGTTTTAGGAATTTAGTGGAATGATCAGAGAATTTGTGAATAAATCATCTGGATCTGCGCTCCTCTGGGGTCTTGTTAAGTGTTTCATGCTAACAATGAGAAATGTTTCTGTGGATAAAGTTTTTACTTCCTCTGTTGTGCAGTTATAGTATCTATTTCTGTATGAGTCACTTTGCTCTCATGTTTCTCTTCTACTTTCTGTGCCTCTGCTGCCTTCTGCCATTTTACTGACTCCTTGTCAAAACTTTTTCTTCTCTCTTTTGCCAAAGAATTCCTATCCCTTGATCTTTTTCCACATTTTTCAACCACAAATTTAACTGGGTTTTATTCTGTTCATGTTTTATTCTGCTTTCATGGGCCAACAAAAAGTGGTGCACAGTTGAAAGATGCTGGAAAAGAGATTTTGAAATTAACTTTTTAAGAATATGGTTTGAAATCGTCATCCTCCCCTTGATAATTTGATGAAACACCTGCAATAATTAAATTTAATTCCAGTTTTGTCTCTGCCAACTTTAAACGGCTGAAAAGTACATTTATTGCTGATTCTTTTTTTTTGTTTTTTGCCAAAAGCTCAGTCAGATTGGAGACTTTTTGACTCTTGCTGTAGATCCTTCATTTAGATTTGTTCTAGACTTTGACTTGACCGCTAAAAGACATGAATATGATTCAATCTAAACTCCTCCGAAGTTCCTCTGACTCTATGTTTACGGTAGTTTTCCTGCTGTAAGGTGAATCTTTAGGTCCCTTATTACCTCTAGCGGGTTTTATTCCTAGAATGCCTTTAATTTAGCCCCATTTACAAAGAAAAGCATCACCTCAGTGTGACATGGATGGAGCTTTAATGGTCTAAATGTTTTCTTTTTTTTTTTTTTTTGCAGGACAACGGAAACTTTTTAGATTTTTACTGATAACAGTTTTTCTCTCAGTTTTTCTCTGTGCCCACTTTTCAGTCAAATAAAACCCCAATAACATGTCATAGGTGTTTGTGGTTATAGCATAGCAAAATACTAAAACTTTCAAAGGGTATAAAAACTTTAGGAAAGTAGCTGTGTTTGTTGATAACAATGTTCTAACCTCTAACTTTCTCTTCTTCAGCATTTTCTAACCCTTTTCCCTAAACTCTTCTTCTCACATTAACCCCTCCCTGTCTTTGCTTGTGTGCTTTCACTGGCTGCTCTTGCGCTCGTGTGCGGGTTTGCCGATGCCTCCCATCTATGTACGTGCATCTGTGTGGGAGCGCGCTGCAGACTCTGAGCTCGGTGCCGCAGCTGGTGGACATTGAGCCGTCGCCCGTCAGTGCCATGAGAATGACCCTGTCACAGGTAGTTCTAACAGCTAGCATTCCTATCCTCATTCCTCACACAAATGATCCACTCGTTCCTGTGTTAATGTTTGCAAGAGCAAGCATTTAAATGAACCTGTCATCATCAACCTAAGGTCTGCTAACAGCAACGTGAGATTTTTGCTCACAACGAAGAAAATGAATGCCTCAATTCTAATCTGACTTTTTTTTTTTTACCTCCAAGAAAGTTTGGAGGTATTTGCAAAACAGTCAGAACGAAACACAATTTAATAGACAATTTGTTGTTAATGCAGCATTTCTTTAAATTAATTTAAACATTGAGTGTGTTTATTGATTTTATTTTGAAGGTGCTGATCTGGCTGCTGAAGCTTCTATCTGGGATCTTGATTTTTAGGCTTTATTTTACCCTCAGCTCGACAAGATTTAGTCATTGAGCAGTTTTTGCTGTAAATTATTGAAAGCTCTCCTGGAATAAACATGAAATAATGACTAAATATAATTAATCTGTCTAACATAACCTCGGCAGAAAACTCTTATTTTTACATTTAGTAGATTAATAATGCCATATGGGATTCTTGTTATTCTATCCTTTATACTATAACCTTATTTGCTGAGGCGTTTGGCATTTGGATTCAGTGTTTGGCGACACTGAATTACATGCATCAATGGAAATGTTGACTTTTAAGTTTGCCATGCACTTAAATAACATTTTCTGATCTATATCAATATTTATCTGCTAATTTCATTTTAATCATCACTTTAACAGACTGTGTTGCATCAGATTTGAAATTGTTGGTTTTTATTATATATTTGTATTCTTTCTATCCTTCCTCTGGACACCAAAGTCTATTCTGAATCTATCAAAGAAATAACACAGCAGATTGAAATGTCCTGATTCAACTTTTTTATTTCTGATACATACATATATTGCAATTCTGATAATTGACTGACATCAGAATGAATCATACATTCTTTTATGTCTTATATTATAGTGTGACTAGAAAAGGCTTGATATTACTTAGACAGAGAAGAGTCGTTTACAGCATCAGGTATAAGAACTGATCCATCTTATTCTCTAAAAAGTTAAATAAACTTTAAACAGAAACAGATAGAAGCAAAGTGTTTCTATGATTTTTCTAACATCTGATTTGTTTTTATGCAGAGCAATATAATCCAATATAATCGGACCAATTTCCAATCACTTATCAGAACATCCTTAATTTCAGAATAGCTGCAGGTTTTTCTAAATATTCTCTCGTTCATATTAGAAGCAAGAGTCCCAAACCTACTATTGGAACATAAACTTGGCTGCATGTAAACAATATTGACCATACCCCCTTCATACATTAACTGTATATAGATACACATATGTATCATAATAAATTAATCTAAAATTAAGCAAAAGAATAGTTGCTCAATAAAATCGACAATGATAACTTACTTCTTAAAGAACAGCATAAAGAAGGATGTTTTTGTACACCTAAAGCTCCAACTAAAATTATGCTTCATTCCAGTTTCTTTCAATGTCGAGATAAAAAAACCAGTCAGAATAAAAGTGCTCCTTGCTCTGCAGCAGACACTCTGGAGTCTCTGGCCCCATCTGCCTTAAAAGGAATCCATTAAAGCAGCTCTTATACAAATGATGCATTTCTTGTTCTTGATGATAAATTATATTTGTCTGGGCAAAGCTACATCTTTACTAGCTGTAGAGAGAGTATTTTTTTTTTTAATAGACTGTGTATTCTGTAAATGTTTCAATTATTATCACTGCTGCGGGTCCACGACCCAGCGTTATGGTATTTGGGGCGGCTGTTTACCCAAAACGTGATTGGAAACTAAAGTAACACGTGTGTAGGATGAGAGGATGACATAAAACACGACTCAGCACCAATAATCTACAATGAATGTTTACACTTTTAAACTGAAGCCTGAGTCAGCAGATGCATGTACAACTACTGTGTGAGCCAATGCATTTCTATCTGTTTAACCACTGTTCTTTCTACATGGAAATCCTAATGACTGTTATTATGACAGCTAAGGATTTTATGGAAGGGCAGGATAATTATTTTTTTTCTTTACTTGTTTTGATGCTAGTTATAGGGTCCTCATCAGTAATTAGTACAGAATGGTAGAGATGTGCAAAAGGCCATTATATAGATTAGTCATTTTTTTTAAATACAGAATCTACCTGTTACTTATAGAAAATAATTTGATTTGTTTTATTTAGAAGAGTAAAAGAATATTTTTATATAAATAAACAACACAGTATAAGTTCTTGTAAATTAAATGACTAAATCTGCTTTTTCAAAGGATGATTTTTTTAAATCAGAGGAACCTTTCAATTATCAATCTAGCTGACATGACAGAAGACTTAGACAGATTTCATTTGTCATTTTGTATACACAATTGTAAACAAAAAGAAATTTCGTTAGGAACAGCTCTCTAGACAATTTCAATTTTTTAAAGTGCAGCCTTGAAAAACAGTAAAAAAAAAATACATAAAAACAGTAATATAAACATATGACTGTAAATTTACAGTTCTAACATTTCAGTTTTTTTTTTTACTAATAAAATATTAAAAAATATAGTAAAATGCAATAAAATAACCCATTTTACAAAGAAAGGCAAATTTCTCTTCTTAAAAATGGGAAACACGAGAAAGCATGTTATTCAGTAGTTCAGGTGCGTGTCCTCATAAGTCAGGAAGTCCTTTACCCATTTAACAGTGCAAGTGTTTATGGGGTTTAACCAGTTAAACAACAACAATTAGATAGATTTAAACACATAAATACTGTTTTAATCTAAATCGATTTTTAAAATATCAAACATTTTTAGTTTATGGTTTAAAAATAATATAAAAAATTGTAATACCGTGACAAACAAGGCTGGATCTAAATTGTGCTAAGAGGGATGATATGGAAGTAAAAAAAAAAAAATCTGAAGCAAAAATAATGAGTTTTATCCTGCAACTGTAACAAAAATACATCGAGATGGTTTCTCTGTTTTTTTTTTTTACAGTGGATGTTTTTGTACATTTTTGTTTGCTCTTCCTTGTTAATCCTTTATCAAGCAGAAACCTCACTACAGTATGCCACCTCACCTAAGTTATTTTTAAACTGGCATAAAATGAGGTGTTACTTAAACGTTTTCTGTATCAGTATAAAGTGTGTTTTGAGTGAGCTTTACAGAACAGGTCCAAACATTTTAGCACTCTGGCAAGGAACAAAAGGGCTGACCCTATTCCTGTGGCATTGTATCTCACAGCCACTGTTCTAATCTAGAGATCTGCTTCGCTCCCTTAACTCCCCGCGAATCTCCAGCGCCCAAATGTAATTAAGCTGTAAATCTCCTGTGTAATACTTTCAGCTTCACACCTATACTTAGCGGGATTAATGTCCCAGTGTTACTGAATCAGCACTTAATTAATAAGTACAACTGGCATGAAAAGATGCAGTTAAAATATTCACTTGATGAATGTTTCTTATTAGGTTATGGGAACCCTATTTTATCTGGTTTATGGACACATCAGCAATATATCTCTGCATCCTTTGGCTCATTTCGGCTTGCTTTTAATTCTTTTTTTTTTGTCTCAAAACTAATTCAATACTTTTTATTCTTGTTTTCCAGTTTTAATAGTACATTCATAAAAGTAAGAAGCACTTACTGTAGGTTTACTGATTTTTCCGGTATGTGATGAAGCCATATTAACTGTAGCTAGGCGCACAGATTTGATCATTTTGTTTGTTTAAACAGATCAAAGCTGCACTTAAACAGAACCGGACTGTTTCTGTTCACCTCCTGCTCTGTTTCTTTGTTGTTCATGCATGCAAACACACACTCTTTCATTTTTTTTAAACACTGCCTGTTGAGTTTTAATAGCAGTTATTTTGATCTGCAGGGATAACAGCCCTGCTTTGGAACACATGCTGTATTAATTATTCGAGAAGGAAACATTCGCTCTCACATTTTCCTTCAGTTTAATTAACAGCCTCCACATACTGCAGTCACATGTCTTTAGTATCTGCAGAGCAATACACGGAATCGGAACCTGTTGACATTTCTGCTTAAATATTAAGATGTTCCAGCCTTTTTTATGGATTTTATGTTTCAAGTAATAGACTAAGCAATAGACTAACAAGTTTTGTCGGTTGCATAATTGTAAAGAGGTGGATAAAAGTGTGGTTTGCATATTTCCTCTGATTCCCCAAACCTTTAGCTTTATGCCTCTATTCCAGGAAATTTAAGTTTTTTTTGTTTCCATAATGTTTAGAGCCCAAGCTGAGTGTACAGCTGTTATTAACTCTTTCCACAGACTCCTTATTAGACTTTATATCTGGACTTTGACTAGGCCATTCTGACACATAAAACATTAACAGATCTAAAGAACTGGCTTATCTTTAAGTCTGATATTTTATGATTCTCCCAGGATCTCTAACATTGACTTTAGAACTGAACTGCAGATAATGATCATTTTACTGATCGATTAATCTGTCCATTACTATTTTCGATTAACTGATTAATAATCGGATAGAAAAAGGTTCCTGAAAGAAGTTTTTTTTTTACAGAATTAAACCTGGTGAAACTAAAACTTTTCCACTTGAAAAGTTATGGATTGAACATAACGATGGATGGAATACAAAATATTCTTCTTTTTTTCTTCAAAAGTTTGGTATAATTACTGCTCTAACATGTTTTAGAGACTCTATACTCCAGTTTACTCAACACTTGCCAAAATTGTTGACAATTTGTGAATTAATCTGATTAATTGTTTCAGCCCTAACTGACTTTATACTGAATACATGTTTGTTTATCTCTACACATGTTTGTTTGTATGGTTGTTTGCATCAGAGCCGCCAGCTGGAGTCAGAGTCAGGAACGACGGAGGAGCACAGTCTGAATAAAGAGGCCAGAAAATGGGCAACCAGAGTGGCCAGAGAGCACAAGAATATCATTCACTGCAAGCGAGTAAGGGCACAACGTGTAAAACATGTAGATATCAAACTCAGGCATGTTTATTTGAGTGTAAACTCTTCTAATAAAGATGTCTGGCTTCTAGTCTCTAGAGGACTGTGAGAGTCACGGCCTGCCTCCCACTGAACAGGGCAGACTAGACCTGGAGCTGAAGATTGAAGACACCAAAGAGATAATGCGCAAAGCTGAGGTCTGTAACTCAACTGAGAAAATTGATCCTGCTAATTTGGGATTTTTAACTTCTAATGCTCTATTGTTTTTGTGCCATAAAGGCTTTCCATTGATAATCTAGGTATTGAAAACACCAAGAAGAGCCTTTAGGAGTATGTATCCTGTTACAGATGATATGACCTGCTCCACAAACTGTTAGGAGGATCGTCTGCAACTCTAAAGCAAATAAGCATTCTGCTTACTTTAAACTTTGCTAACTTTAAACATATGGATGCAAACATAGAAACATCTTTATAACAGTTCAATCACTTTTTTTTTACCAAAAGTCTCTCTATCCCTCCATAAAAGGCCTGATAATACGGAGAAAATTAAGGATGAATAAAAATCAACGCCTGAGCTGTAAAACTTTGTGAACATATCTGAACATCCAAGGTCATAATTGTCTTTTTTAGAGACTCAAATCTTTGAGTCTGCAGAAAAATCAATTATTAATGCATTAATCCTCAGACTTAATGAGTACCCTGTGATATCTCCTGTCTTTCTTAACTGGGTTCTATCTGCTGTTTTTAGCCTCACATATCCCATTGTTTGATTTATTTATTTTTTTTGGGTTCGGGTGTTTCATATTACAAAATTCACAGTTTATGCCTAAATGTATCGTATTTTATTCTTATAAAATTAGAAATATAGGTTATGATAATTTAGCTACATGCATGAATAAACTCTACTATGAAACTACTAAACAGAATGATTTACTCCCCATTTTTCTCCTCCCATCTGCGTTTCCTAAGTCAGATTTGAGCTCCTTCTCTCTTACAGGCGGTCATTTCTTCCCCGATAAGGTCGCTGAATATTTTATGTGCTCATTTAAAACAGATGAGCTAATGACAGAGTTCTCATCTTATAATTATAAAAGCAAGACAAAGGACATTAGTTATTATCTGGATAGTGATTGTACCACCCAGCCTTTAACTAAGGTCAAGTATTAATCTTTCTAAGGTTCCTCCAGCATTGATATTGGCGTTTGGTTGGGTACAGAGAGCCGTGGAGCTGTAGTCAGAAGCTGACATGCTCAGACATTTTCCTTCTATTAATTTGTGGCTTTAATCGACTTATTCCATCCATTATTTCTAAGGTAAAACATTCATACATCTTGTAAATCAAGTATAATTTAAAAACAAGGATTTGGTGCACAGGTTTAAATTTATTCCGGATTTCCTCTAATCTCCACAGGATGAAAATGAAAGGATTAAAGGAGTCAAAAAATATAAACCTGTACGATTTTGATATAAGTTGTTTAGTAATGTTACATAATCAGTCTTTTTTTAATCCTTTTCTTAATTCTTAGAATAATAATAATTTTTGGATGAGCAGATCTTCTGTACTTAGCAATTTTATACCAGGTTGAGATCACCTTATCATCTTCAGGATCTCCATCATTATTCAAACGTTGCTGCATTTTGTTCAAATTTTAACTTCCGATTGAAGACAACCAAAAAATAACTGCACATTCTGTGATCGCCTAAAGTTTTTTTTTAAACAGCTGTACATCAGTGATGTTTTTTAACGACCTTTACATTTTCTCTATAAATGTGGGAGTTTTCTGCATCTCCATTATCAGTTTCAGCCTTAATGTGAAGCACCAAACACCATCACTGTTTTCATAACCTTATCATCTGCTATTAGGAAGAGCTTTTCTTGATGTGTTCCAGAAAACCTCTTGCAGATCCATCAAAGCCTATCCATGTTCGTTGTCTTATTGTCCACATTGTGTTATCTCTATCTGGTTTAACTGTCGTCTAAGATAAACAAACCTCTTTAGGTATATTGATGTTCTCCTCCCTCTTGAATCCTATAGGGTGGGTGAGTGGGAGGAACAGATGATTAAATTTGCCTCTGTGGTAGGCCTTTGTAAGTTGAGGCTCCCACCAAACAATTGGCCCTTAATTAAATATTAATGACAAGCAGAGTCAGATCCTGAATTATATTTTAGCCAAAATAAACCTAAATGATACGGCTGGAGAACTGATTAAAAGTATTCTTGTCATACAGGTTGAGTTTTTTTTCCATCAGAAGTTGGAATGTTATTTTTATATACAAGACACCACTGCCTCTGTATAAACCTCATTATTCTTTAAAAGCTTTATCATGTTTTTAGGTTTACCTTCACACTGCAATATTTTACAGTCCTTTTCCTCATGTTTCTGTTCCCTTTTGTGTTTTCTGCTGCTCCATCTTTCCATCTAGATTTCCACTTTCCTTCAGTGATAATAGTATTGATTACAGCTCCTCGGCCAGACTGATTGTCTGAACTGATGCTGTCCTCCCACCACCGGCTGCTTCCATTGACCCATGCTTGTTATGCAATACTGATAGTTCTTTAGAGCAGGAGTATATGGTGCTGTGAATGTCAGGATTTCAGATTTTCTGTCAGATTTGTTTGTTTGGAATTTAATATAGTGAGCTAGGTTTGATAATTTTTACCTTGTATTCATTATCGATGACAGAGAAAAATAAACATGGTGCAGTATGTCTGTATTGATTAAAGTGAGCAAGTTGGACTGGGAAATAAGCCAATCAGCTGTCAGTCTGCTCTGACAGCACTGGTGTGAAAGGAAAGAAGGTGGAACAGAAGAGTAAATGAATAAAAACAGGTTAGAAACTTAAGGATCAGAGATAGAAGAACCTCCCTAATGTCCCTATAATAGAACTAGAAATTGAACAAGTTTCATTGGGGGAAATGAAATAACAGATTCCGCTGTGATGTAACAGTAATAACGTAACAGTTACTTCTCAAAAGAAATAAAACTTTTTTAATACAAAAAGGAAATAATTGTGCAGAAAATCAAATATGTCATTATCCTTTTTATGTTTTGTTGTTTTTAAAGACAATAAAGTTGAAAGCCGAGGCTCGATTGGACCTTTTACGGCAAGTTGGAGTGGCTGTAGATACCTGGCTGAAGAGCGCTATGAATCAGGTGTGTTTTGGATCGGGAAACATTAGGTGCAATATATGTGTGTGGTTATAACCATCTCTCTCTATGCTCCTTGCAGGTCATGGAGGAGCTGGAAAATGAGCGCTGGGCCACCTACACAACCCACGATCCCTCACTGTCGGTGAGACATCAGTATAAAGTGGGGAAAATGTGCAGATGCAACCTCCTAGAACTGCCAAGATCATTTATGATTATCCTTCATTAAAAATATATTTTGTAGACTAAGATCACAGAGGGTCAGCATATGAAAAAATAGTGCAACAATCAAAATGGCTGTGAAAGTATAGAAATACTGAAACATCAAATTAAAAGAGCATGACAAAAGGATCAGAGCGAGACAATTTTCATCAACTGTTTTACAGTTTTAGAGTGGAAGTCTAGAGACGGGACACAGAGCGACTGTGGGGAGGAAAGCTTGGTAAATAAAATAAGTTTGAATTAAAATCTCTATTCTAGGCTGCCTTATAGATTGTTAAATTCACTCCTTAAAGAATCTTGGTGTAGTTTATGAAGTAAAAAGGTTGTTTTTAAAGTAGGACTTTGGTGTGATATAACTACAGATATAGAACTGATTAATGATCTTCTGCTCAGTCAGTTTTGATTTATTTGTTTGAAATCCTTATTTATTATTTATTATCTTTAAAAGTATGCTCAACTTTTGCATTGGTTCCTTAGTTCACATTATTATAAGTGTTTAAGCCTTCCAAAGCCATTTATAGGCACGTATATGATTAGATATTGCCTTTAGCGCTAGTACTCATTTTTTATGAAATGGTTGTTTTCCGGGGCCGTTTCTCCAGTCTGAAAGAATGATACTTTTCTGCAGGAGGGCAGAACAAAGTCGGAGACCTATCTATAACTTAAAAGTATACTGGAGGATTTTTGCAAATTTTTTAAAAGACCCCCCCCTCTCCACTTTAAACAAAAAAATAAATGTACATGCACAACCTGGTACCCGGAATGCCTTTTAAACGCATGCGAGAGCATGAACGAGCCCATTTCTCCTCATACACGCTCTTTTTAAATGTTTTTGTTTAAATTGCTCATACAAGCTTATATTACAAAAGAAGATTTTGAATTTTTACCCTATATTAGACTCACCACCGGTAAGTGGAAATGAAGACAAGCATGTAGGACGGCCTTACATAAACATATCACCAGAATGATTAACAGTTAGGAGGACCAATTATTTTTGATGATCCATCCTCCACTATAGCTTTAAAAAAGAAAAGTTGCTGTCACTCCTCAGATTAAGTGCAAAAAGAGTAAATTCATCTCAACGTTATCGCCCGTTGACAAAAGCAGGCGTGCTGCTTTTATGGTGCACGTACGTCAAGGTCCGGGCATCCTGGGAGTAATCGACTGAGACATGCATGAAGCAGATGAAATACTACTTTAAGCATGATATCTGATAAAGAAATAGCATTATAACATACTTAGAAGCCCAAAAAAGTGGGTTTTGCATGATATAGACCCTATAAGAAAAAGGTAATTGAAGCATTAAAACCTAAGGTTGTCCAAAGACAGAAACTCCTCAGATTGACTCTGGCCTGGTCAAAGGCCTGTCAGTTGGTAATCACCCAAGCTTATTCTCACATTGAATAAATGCACCACGCTGTCAGTGCATGTTGACAACAACAGCCCACTTTAGGAATAAGAGTCAGTTAGCCGTTCTCAGCATCAGTGAGGCTGACCTGGTTCAAAGGAAACACAACATGTGTAAGAAAGCTCCCGGGAGAAATGGTTGGCTGTTCCAGGTGTTTGATTCTGTTGCCTAAAATATAAAGCAAAGGTGGAGATGTCAGCTAGAACAGAACAGACAGGAGCTATTCTATATGATCAAAATTTCTACTTGTCCTTTCTAGAGAATGCTGACTATAGAGATGTTGTTTTATTACGGTAAATCTTTTGTCTGAAAGATGTAAATAGGATCACAATTGACATCAGTCAGTCTTCAAACAGCCAGCTGTTAATGAGGAATAGTGATGATGGTGTCCTCACATAATATCCTTTATTAAATGAGCCTTAAAGGAATAGTACACCCAAAACATGATTAGCCTTCATTTTCTACTCACCCCCATGCTGAACAACACTCTGGAGTACTTTTTTGATATCTCAAATGCATCTGGAGATCTGGGAGGCTTCTTGCTGTCTGCTGACATTCAAATAATGGAGGTCTATGGTGCCCGAGGCAGATAGGTCCATTAAAAGTCCACAAAAACGTTTCAATAGTCCTCCATACTGCTCGTCCAATGTATTCCAAGTTTCCTGAGTGGGTAGCATCCAGAATTTACTCGAAACGAAGTCATTTAGAATGTTTTTAGAGCATAAACAGTAGTGTATAGGATTTCCTGAAAGCGCGCACATGCGCGATCACGACGCTACGGAAGCCGGCAGACCAAACCAGCGCATTCAGCTCGGCAAAGAACTCATGCTCTTCCTCAACACTGAAGTCCTCAGACATTTTTCTTTCGTTGTTTCTTTCTTTGCACAGGTAAACAGCACATTTCTTCTTCTACGCTTGCATTATTGGCAGAGCAGACGCTGAATGCGCACGTTCATCTGGTTTGGTCTGCCGGCTTCCGTAGCGTCGTGAGCACGCATGTGCGCGCTTTCAGGAAATCCTATACACTACTGTTTATGCTCTAAAAACATTCTAAATGACTTCGTTTCGGGTAAATTCTGGATGCTACCCACTCAGGACACTTGGAATACATTGGACGACCAGTATGGAGGAATATTGACACGTTTTTTGTGGACTTTTATGGACCTTTCTGCCTCGGGCACCATAGACCTCCATTATTTGAATGTCAGCAGACAGCAAGAAGCCTCCCAGATCTCCAGATGCATTTGAGATATCAAAAAAGTACTCCAGTGTGTTGTTCAGCATGGGGGTGAGTAGAAAATGAAGGCTAATCATGTTTTGGGTCTACTATTCCTTTAACTTTGATAACACCTTTCAATTCATGTTTAGGTTAAAGGGATAGATATGTATGTTAATCAAGGCTGTTTATCTCTATAGCATATATTGATATTGCTTAAACACCTCAAAGAGCTTCAAATGAATGCAGATTGTGATTTAAAACCCGATACAAGAATCCATCACATTTACATTGAAGTTTTTGGTGCATTTCCTTTTACATACTTTAAAGTTAACAACAAACTAAATAAATCCTACAATTTTATATTAACATCTTTCATTTAAAAAACATCAAAGTTGTGTACAATCACAAGTGGAGTTAATTTTTTCATTGACGTTTCTTTACTTTAAGATAAGTGCTTCTTTCTGCCTTGAGGATTTACCCTTCACAGGATTTCTTTTTTCGTAGACGTGTTTGTGTCTGTCAGTCAAGGTGACTAAGCAGAGTCTGCCTGCTCCGTGGGAATCATTTGACATTCTGCTCACAGGATGCTGCAGCTCGCAACTATCAGGGGAGAGGAAAAGGGTGAGATATTGGGGTGTAGGGAGAACAGAGAAAAACGCAGGGAGAGGGAGGGAAAAATCTTGCAGGAGATAAATAGAAAGAAGTGGGGATAAGAGGTGGAGTTTCTTGCTGCGACAGAGGAGCAGCGAGGAGACGGTTACTGAAGCATGAGAAGAAAACGAGAGAAGTGGTGTGAAGAGAGGGAGAGGTGAGGTGAAAGTGTAACAGAGCAGTGACGGCGAAGGGAAAATTGCCTGCAGGGGTGAGAGAAGCGATAGAACGCCATAAGGCTGCTTTATGCTACAAAATCTATACGGCCTCCCTCTAAATACTGAGAAAGATCTGCTACAAATATATTCATATATTGTCAAAGTATTAATACTTCCTGGACTTTTTCCTCATTTTATGAACTCAAATCAAAAAGATTTTCATATGGATTTTAAGAGAAAGGCCAATAGAAGAGTTGTGCATAATTACAAACACAACATGAAAAGTGTGGAATGTCTCTCAGAGCTCCTAGTCTTTAGTCTTGTCCATCATCGTTCTACAGTTTTGTTGACTTGATTGTCTATGAGCAGCGTGACTAGGCCCCTCTATCATTATGCTGTGATCTAAGCCATCCCACTGCATCTCTGGTTCAATTCAATTCAGTTTATTTATATAGCGCCAATTCACAACATATGTCATCTCAAGGTATGTTACAGAGACAGTTCAACAAGATCATCCAGTCAGATTGGTTCAAAGTTTTCTATCTAAGGAAAACCAGCTGATTGCATCGACTCATTGACTCGAAAGCTATCCCTCATACCAAGAATGCTTATAGCAACATTGGAGAGGAAATTTTTCTTTTAACAGGAAGAAAACCTCTAGCAGAACCAGGCTTAGTGTGAGCGAGCATCTGCCGAGGCCGACTGGGCTTCAAGGAGATAGATGCAGACAATGGCTTAAGGCTATTTAGCTCCAGTCAGGATCCATGCTGAATAAAAGAATCACCACAGCATGATGTGGCCACTACCATGTTTCAGTGCTAGTATGATATTTTTAGGTTGAAGTGGTGTCTTTGTTTTTCACCTCCCATGGTGCTTTACACATGGGCCAAAGCTTATGTTTTATTTTCATCTGACCAGAGCCGTTTTTGTGTTCCCTACAAGGCTTGAAACACAATAACTGGTGTCTTGTGTAACCAGTTAGCAGATTTTCCCAGCTTAGTCATGGATTGCCTTGACAGACTCTCTAATAGATGTTTACTTTGGCCGACCAGCTGTTTTGGTGGCTGTCTCATTTGGTTTACAGTTGACCCATGCTCTTTCCATATTTGTACAGTGATTTGAAAAGGGATCTGGGTAGTGATTTAAGGTTTTGGATATTGTTTAAAATTGTTTAACTTGTCCACAACTTTTTTCCTTCCTTATCTGCTGTGTGCTCTTTGGTCTCATAATGCTGTTTGATCTGAGGCTATCACAGAAGAGCTGGATTCAGACTGAGATTGAATTACACATAGTTGGATTTAACTTGAGAGCAGCTGTTTACTTTAGATTTTATTGAGAGGTATTGAAATAAAGGAAGCTACTTACAAATATGCATTGCACTTTTTTGAGTTTGTGCTTTGTAGAGTTTGTGCTCTTCAAAAAAAATAAATATAAGGAAATTTAATATTTCTTTTGAACCGGTTCTTCTTTTATGAAACATTTTGGCT